AAAAAAAAAAAAAAAACACAAACAAACAAGTTATGACTGGGCGCAGCAACTCACACCTATAATCCCAACACTTCGGGAGGCCGAGGTGGGAGGACTGCTTGAGCCTAGGAGTTTGAGACGGGCTTAGGAAATACAGTGAGACTCGTCTCTACAAAACAAACAAAAAAATTAAAATATCATCCAGGCATGGTAGTACAAAAGCCTGAAGTCCCAGGTACCTGGGAGGCTGAGGTTAAAAGATCACTTGAGGCCAGGAGGTCAAGGCTGCAGTGAGCCATGACTGCACCACTGCATTCCAGCCTGGGAAACAGAGCAAGACCCTATCTCAAAAAAAGTTACTAACCAAGGATCTGCAAGCCCCATTAAACTCACGGCCTACACTCTTCACTGCTATGTACCATTCTAACAAACATGGTCTCCAGTTTCCCATTGCAAAAGAGAAGATCAGTGTAGCATCCATTGCTTGTAAAGGAAACTCTTACTACAAAATTGATCAGAACAAGTAAGAAAAATTCCGTTAGGAGAACTGTACTTCACGTTCAAGGATCTGTCACACACAGCAGCAGTCCCTAACCTTTTTGGAGCTAGGGATTGGTTTCACAGAAGACAATCTTTCCACGGACCTGGGGTTGCTGGCAGGGGGGCAGGGGATGATTTTGGGATGAAACTGTTCTACCTCAGATCATTAGACATTACTTATATTCTCATAAGGAGTGTGCAACCTAGATCCCTTGCATGTGCAGTTCACAATAGAGTTCACGCTCCTATGAGAAACTAATGCTGCCACTGATCTCACAGGAGGTGGAGCTCAGGAGGTAAAGCTGCTGCCCCCTACTCCTACATTTACCTCCTGCAGTGCTGCCACAGACTAGTACCAGTCCACAGTCTGGGGGTTGGGGACATACAGGACAAAAGTATATGGACGTTAAAGTCAACTGCCACTCCTGAGGACTTGCTGAGAGGCAGTCTGGTGGTTTTTACTTCACTGGTTCTTGAAAAGCCAATTCTTTGGATTCTTACCAAGTTCACATTCAGAGTGCACATCATCTCAAATGTGTGATGATCCTGGGGCACCTTAGGAGAGGTAGAAAAGAACTGGGGGGCGGTGTGTGGGGGTACAATGAAGCTCTCATAGGTCAAAATGCTTAGAAATGCTCCTATCAGCTTTAAATCAAAAACTGAAATTGTTGTTCTCAGATTAATTTTATCTAGCCAGAGGGACAAATTCTAAGAAGCAACATCTCTAAAGGTTCCAAAACAATTTATTTCCATTGCATTTGACACCAAAGTGCTAAAAGGACATAACACAGACATTTCATTTCCTAAAAGTTACCCTACTTTTCTAGAATGAACACTTAATACTCATTTTTTCCAGCTAAGTAGAAAATCTGAGGGAGAAAATGAATTTGCATCTACATATTAGGTAGGTATCCATGTATATCTTAAAACAAAATTTTTTAAAGTAGAAAGTTGTATTTTTTATGTAGCATAGTACTAATAATTTAAG